CTCACAGTGTTAGAGGGGTCAATCTGTGGTCAGCAGGCACCTAGGCAAATAGGTCATAGTAGGAGGGGCATGGGAAAGTAAGATGCTCACTTCATGGCAGCAGGGAGCAAAGCACAGGATAGGAGTAGTGAAGAGCAAGAAGCCAGAAACCAGATGTAGTATCCAAGATCATACCTTCATGACCCAGTAAGACATATTGAGAAGTATGCTTTCCTAATCCCCAAGTATATTCCAAGCCAATCAAATTAATAGTTTATCTTAAACATCATAGGCTCTGATTCTAAGAATATGCCTGAAGTTACTATTTTAGTGTTAATAACTTGCATTAAAAGACTTTGTTTTTTATATTAAATCATCTCATTTTATCCCTTCAGTAAACAATGGTAGAAAAGATGTTAGAGAAAATTGGGCCTGGGTGCTTATTTGTTTTGAATTTCAAAGCTGCTGTCAGTGGGCTTCCCGGAGGTACACAACCATCATTCTGACTTTTCTAATGCTGTTCTTTCTCCTGTACTTACATCCTAAACGCGGGAAATTGTCCAAGTGGATGCTTGGTTATTTAATGCCTTATGATTAGCAACACCACTTATCTAAAGATACAGCTTCTATCATAACCTGGTGGTACACATCTGTAACCCCAGAATGAGGAAGGCTGAAGCAGGAGGATCACAAGTTCAAAGCCAGCCCAGGCTACATAATGAGGTCAAAACTAGTCTAAATCACATAGAGAGACCTTGTCTCAAAAAAAATCAAAACTTCTTGGATCTTTGACTAGAAGTATAAGTTGTATAAATCATGAAAAGTGGTAAGAATAAACATTTTTTAAATCTGTTTTGAACAAAAATGCATTATTCTGAATTTAAAATTGCCCTGTTTCCTAAAAATGAATTTTTAAAGTCCATAACATGAGTTCTTAATGTTATTCTGAACAAAATCTAGAGGAATTAAGAAATTACCCAAAATTCTTGAAGTGTTTACTGATGAGTATATATAGAAATCATTATTATAGTTTTAAAACAGTTGTCATAAAGGCAGCCAGGCAGGAAAATCTAGAATGGCAGACTCTTACAAGAGTCTTAACACAAGACTAAAAATCAGTTTTGTGGAAGATACAACTATGTTTTGCATTTGGCTCCCTCTAAGACTGATTAAAATGAAAGTTATTACATAATATTACATATTATGCATGCATATTTTATTCTCTAGTCTCCCTCTTTATTTTCTGGTTCAGTTGAATTTTTATTTTTCTCTACTGTCATTTTATAGTAGGGAAGTCAAAATTATAAGGGCCTTTAAATAGTTGCAGATATCACTGTTGCTAATTATGCACTTTTTCAGAGCAAGTAGTATTTGTTGAATGTCTTTTGTGTGTGAGACACTTTACAAGGCAGTTACACATTGGCACTATTTTCAGTGAAGGACAGTAAATTATGAGAAGGCCTTAGAGTTTTATTTTCTTTTAGCTCATTATTTTTATTTTATATTTAAGCTATCATTATTCTGTATGTCAATTCATAGCTAACTATAGGAATTTACATCTATTTCTAAATATTTGCCATTCCAGGTCTTATATGCTGAGAACTTTTTGTGATGTGTATTTAAGGCTTCTCTGGGTTATAACAAACTTGGTGTGCAGAAGCCATCTTCACTTTATTTACCCTGACTTAACATATGCATATACTCTGATTGTGCCGTACTACTAGGAATGAAAGAATGTACAAGATGCAGTGATGAAGAGCCCGGCTTTCACTTCCACAGTCTGAGGTTCTGCCCTTTAGGAGCCCTATAGCCTTGCCATGTTGCTTATCCATTCTGCATTACCAAGTCCTCATCTGTAATAGGGAGGTGATAATAATGATTTTCTTAGAAAAGATTAGAAGATTCATAGGATGTTTATAAAACAGTTGCCAGACATACTATGATA